CTACACTAGAGTAATAGCTGAGAGCTTCCTTCTTATCCGAGTTGGAGTTGAGGAGCCGAACAAGGGATTAAGGCTGGTGTAGGTTTTTTTAAACCTCAAAGGCAGACACATCTGCTCTGACACACCGACACCTCCAAATCCTTCCCCAAACCAGCTAGGGACCAAGCACTCACATATATGAGCCTATGGGAGCCATTTTCATTCAGACCACCACTCCATACTTTCTTTTCTAGCTACTCTTCCTCGGGAACGTGGTTCAGCCTACCACCGACCTCTGTGTTCACAAAGAACAAAGGACTCCAAGTTGACCACACTGATAATGCAGAGAGGGAGGATGAGGTGTGACAATTCAGGAGTTCACATTTTTATATGATGAAAGTGATTCTTGGGATCTTTCATTAGCTTTATCCATGGGACCAGACTTGTAAGAAACATAACTGAGAAATGAGTCTGGGATGATTAGGCTCCAAGCCACCTACTTTTTCCTGCTTCCTCTCACTACTCACCCTAAGTAGCAAACTTTCATTTGGTAAAGGAATTGGGCAACAATACAGATCAGGCATTGTTAAACGGTCTCACGTATGAATGACAGACTGGTGTATGAGACCTCAAGCTCTATGTGCTAGACTCTTGTGTGAGTACCTACGTGGGTCTGGAAGCTTGACTTTGAAAAGAGAGACCAGACCAAGTGAAGGAGTTTCCCCAAATCATCAACAGTATGAATTATAAGTGTTTGGTCTGTGCACCGAACCATGCAAGACTTCAGGGAGACCAGGTCTTCCAATGAGCTGACACTTGAGAGACCTCCTGTGTTATAACAGGCGGGGCACCTCCTGACAGTAGAGTACACTCACACTGCGCAACTTCCTGAGAGGGGTTTGAGTCCTAATTTCATAAAAGTGCTGGTAAGGTTAGAAAGGAAGAGTGCAACTGTGTAAACCCAGTCCAGGTGGGGTGAGGACAAGAGCCAGGTCATGGCCGCATGAAGAGTAGGGACATCCTCCCTCCCCACTGAATTATGGGAGAAACAGCCTAGCACCGTGACCCATTAGGGATGGACACAAGGAGAAACATGCCATCCTGTCTACTCTCTCATCTCGTGGGGATGCTCCCCATTAGCCCCAAGCAGAAGGTATTCCACCCATAAAAAAACAAAACAAAACAACAACAACAACAACAAAAAAAAACAGTTGCCCAGACATAGCAGGAAATGAATAAAGCTAACGGGCCTCTCAAAAGGCAAATGAAAGAAAAACAAACAAAAAAAAAGTGCTGTAAATTGACACACAGTTTAAGTATATTTTAGAGGTCACAAATTACAAGAGTAAGTTATTTGTTTAGTAGCATCCTCATTATGCAGTGTCCTTCTTATACATCTCAATGTTTTATTAGGTTATAGTCAACTGAGAATGGCCCACACAAAATATTGAACTAGACCGGCTTCCCGGCCCACGCTGAGAGGCAGGTAAGTGAAGCAGGCAAAAGGAACATGTCTCAGCTGCTCAAGCAGTGCTTTGGTTCCATCCCTTCTCTGTTACATGACGTCTTCGCTCCACTCACCCGGAGTTTTCTTCACGCCCGAGTCCATCGTTTTACAAGTCTCCTATTTTTCCTTTCCTTCCTTCCAATAAAAAGGGCCGCTGGACTCACACCTCAATCCACACAGGCTTGGGAATACCGTACCTGGTGGTGTTTTCAAAGGCTGTTTTTTTGTTTTTGTTTTTCTCTTTCCTCTCTCCAGAGAGAAAAACAAAAGGGACTGGTTCAGAACATTGTTTTCCTGTCATCTGAAACTCTTTCTGGGTGTAGAAGTCACTGGAGAGAAACGATGTGCTCAGGGACTGAAGGAAATGGCTTGGCTCCCATCTGTCCCCAGCCATCCAGGGAGGAATTTTTCTTTCCATTGTTATACAGGTTGCTACTCACTGAAGATGTTGCTTTTCTTCTCAGAGATCATGTGGACAAGGCAAGGAGATGTGACAGATTCACACAGTGCTGAGCCGAAGAGGCGAAGGTAGAGGGGCAAGGCAGAAGGAAGTGACCTTTGCTCAGGGCCCAGGACAGTCTCTGGGTTCTGGCCTGCACATGCAGCTCACAAAAGGCTCACCCTTCCTAGGAGTCTGGGAGACTGGGTGACCTAATGTGATTTCCATTTTTACCCAGTGGGCAAAATAAAGATGGGGTTTGTAGGGACAGAAGGAACCAATTAGTGAATGGACAAGACACTCATTTTGACTTCTCTACCAGTGTGAAAGTGTGGGTTTAAGTGCTTGAGAGTTGCTGGTTATCTGTGTGCACAGGGCAAATAGACCTGTATGTGCCTGCCTCTGCACTCCTGGGTTTCTGTTTGTGGTGGTGTGAGAGACCATCATTCTCCCTCTACTGCCGTGTTCCTCAACCTTCTTGATGCTACATTTGACACTGTTGTTCCCCATGTTGTGGTGACCCCCAACCAAAAAGTTATTGCTACTTCATGACTGTAATTTTGAGTCACAATATAAATATCTAATATGCAGGATACCTGATATGTGACCAAACCCTGTGAAAAGGTTGAATGACTCCCCAAAGGGATTGCAACCCACAGATTGGGAACCACTACTCAACTGGATGCTGTGTGAAGCACAGACTATGCTAGTAGGCAACTGTGGTTCCTACCTACAGTCCTTCCTCTTATGGGCGTGTCAATGGACTTGTGGGTTCTTGTGTTTGCTCTCTTATTTTTTAAATATTTATTTATTTATTTATTTATTTATTATACAATATTCTGTCTGTGTGTCTGCCTGCAGGCCAGAAGAGGACATCAGATCTCATTTCAGTTGGTTGTTAGCCACCATGTGGTTGCTAGAAATTGAACTCAGGACCTTTGGAAGAACAGGCAAAGCTCTTAACCACTGAGCCATCTCTCCAGTCCCCCTCTTATTGTTTTTTTTTAAAGAAAATTAATATATAAGTTGCATAATGGGAATTGAAAGATGTTGAAGTCTCATCAGGCAGCGGCGGCATACACCTTTAATTCCAGCACTGGGGAGGCAGAGTCAGGTGGATGTCTGAGTTCCAGGTTTACCTGGTCTACAAAGCAAGTTCCAGGACAGACAGGGTTACACAAAGAAACCCCATCTCAGTGGGGGAAAAAATGTTGAAGTATCAATCCCCAGAACCTAGGAATGTCTCCATATTTGAAAAGGATATGTTTGGGGGCTGGAAAGATGTCTCAGTATCTAAGAGCACTGGCTGCTATTCCAGAGGAGCCGGGTTTGATTCCCAGTACCCACATGGTGGCTTACAACCACCTGCAATTCCAGTCCCAAAGAATCCAACAACCTTTTCTGAACCTCTGTGGGCACTGCACGCACATGATACACAGGCAACCAGTTGGAAACACCCATTCATATAGAATAAAAAGTAATGAAACAATGAAAATGGGATATTTTTAGATAATTAGGTTATGATGAGATCATCAGGGTTGGCACTAATACTATCCAAATGGTGTCTTTCTAAAAAAGTAGAAATTTGGGCAGGGGGCAGCAACATGAAGCCATAGGAAAAAGATGTCTGTCTTCATAAGCTAAGGAATTCCTAAGACTGAAGGAGCCAGAAGAATTCAAGAAGCAGATTTCAAAGGCCCTCAGGGAAGACTAACCCTACCAACATCTTGATTTCAGACTTGGAACCTCCAGAAGTACAAGGTACAATAAAGTATCCGCTGGCTAAGCCACCCAATTTATGGGTGCTATGCGAACTAGACCCAGGAAGATAGTACAATAGCAGTTGATGAAACCCAATGCAGTCTTTATGTCTCCAGTGTGGAGACCAAAGCTCAAGGTACATGACTCGCACAGTCATAGAACCATTTAGAACCAGCACTCGAAATTCCCAGATCATCCTTGACCTGTGGCTGACCTCATTAATCACAATGGACTTCCATCACTGGGTGGAAAAGACTGAGACATGCCTCCCCTGCCTTGTTATGTACAGTCCCCAACTAGATTTTAATCATTAAATACAAGGCTTTGACTCTTCAGATGGAGCAAGTGTGCTTATGCGCTGACTTTCAGAGCCAATAGATTCGACTTGTGTCTGGGGATTAATTGTTTAAGATGTCACCAGAGTTCAATGGAGTTTTAGTTAGTTATGTATCCAAGTTATTCCTTACATGTGAAAATGGGCAATACATGATTTCCTTCTTGAGGAGGCCAAGGACCCTTTCATTTCCATATGTGCCTTCTATTGGGAGAGCCCAACATTCTGATGAAGCAGTTGGAGCTCTTGAGCCAAGTTACAAATAGTTACCAGTGATGGTTAATTGTCAATTTGATTGGGTTAAGAAAATACCTGTGTGTTAATGAGGAATACCTTTGGGTGTGTCTGTGAAGGTCTTTCCAGAGAGGATTAGCTGAAGGGTAAAACATGCCCCGAATATGTGCCACATTCTAGGATCTCAGGCAAAATGAAGAGGGGAAAGGGGAAAGCCAGCTGTCAGCTAGCATCCTTTCCGCTGCATCCTGATCTGTTAGGGTGTGATGAGCCCCTGCCTCACATTCCTGCTGCCACAGACTCCATCGTACCTCCCCCCATAGGACGAGCCACAATGAACATTTCACCTACTTCTGCCTAGTGTTTGCCATGGAAAAAAAAAAAAAGAGGAAGTAAGATAGTGTCTCACTTGCCCACTGCTGGCCCTCCACCAGCTCACGTTAAGTGTTGGCGTGATGGGGGAAGCTCTCTGAGATAGTCTTCACAGCTGTAGAGTTAGTGGCTGCCATCCCGAGCAGGAAAGAACTCCTCTGTTTGCCCCATTTCCCATCAGCTTCTCCCAGGGCCCATCATGTTGTCTGTCGCTGCCCTTCCTAGACCCTGACTCTGTTTTGACCCTGTCTCCTTTGAACCTCTCCGTGATCAGTTCCTGGGTTTTCATCTGATATAAGGAGAACCATTTCTCTCTCTCTCTCTCTCTCTCTCTCTCTCTCTCTCTCTCTCTCTCT